GTACCCAGAGCTCCGAGCCCACCTGATATAATTGTTCTCCCTGCGTTCTGCTAAGCAGCAGAGACGTGGCCTGACACTGTGGCTACGTGAAAGGCTTTCGAACAACTCACAGAGCGCTGGAACGACGTTTTCCAAAGTACAACCGAGGTACTCAACGTCTCGTCGGACATCGCAATTCAGATATGAGATCAATGTCTCGTCTTCGCGATCCAGACGGAATACGTCTCTAAGGCGAAGCATCGATGGGCTGGTCATTGAGAAGGACAGACGACGGATGGACACTAAGAACCCTGGAATGGATTTTTCGCAAAGCAAAACGTCCTCGAGGGAGGCCACCGACCAGATGGGCTGACGTATTTGCACAGATGGACCAGCTGAATTCTCACCCGGCAACGAGTAATAGATCTGGACCTCGACGTCACCGCCACAGTTCAATACCAACGTCATGGATGATGCTAGCGAGAGACAGAAACGGATGGAAACAGTGTTGTGGCCTGCACGACCAGTGAAGACAGGCCATTTAAGCATCTAAGTAAGTAAGTAAAACTTTATTGGACGATGTGTAAGTCATTTTAGGAAAAGTAATAGAGTTTGCAGAACTAAGAAGATGATGCAAGAAAATTATGAAAGCTTAATCACAGCACTCTGTAGTTCTGAACAAAAGCACGGAACACAAGATTGCACGCACCTAGAAAGGATGTTGAGGCAGCTTGCAGATATGTATATTGGATATTCTGTTTATTTTCACAGTACCTACTTTTACGCATACTTATCATGTGAAGTACGTGTTTTAAAACCTAATTGCGCCTATTTTTATTGATATAGCGTCATATGAATTGGTGCAAAAACTATGGAGATTAGTTATGTTGACTGACATGAATAGTAAAACTAGTTATATGAAAGAGGTGTATGATGAATAGACAAACATTACAAATCCTGCTACAGAGCGTCAGATTTGCATAGAATTACCGAAACTGCGGCCTCGCGTAAAAGGGAGAGCTGAGAGGCTTCAGAAGAGCTTTATATAAGGGGGGAGATTAACAACTGAAGATAATGTCATTACGATATCAGATCAAACAAATCGGTTTCTAACATTTTGGACCAGTGCTTGGTTTCCATATATAAGTTCGAATACAACTTACATCTCAATTGATTGTTAATCAATTTTAAACAAAAGTTAGTCGACATTGCTTCTGCTTACAAATAGGACTCCCGGAAAAGAAGATAATGCCGATTTCTAATTTATACTAGACTAGCGGACATAAGTTGTATAGAATTTCTGTTTACCTACAGTATTCTGTTGCTTCTATCGCTGTTAACTATCTTTTTGTGATTCCTCAAAATGAAATCTTCAATTCGTAACCAACTAACAAGAGCTGTACATTATTCCACTCGATAATGATTTGCTCGATGTTTAAACTAGTACCATGCTGTCGCTCACCCCTATGCTCCCATTATCTGCCGTTAAATATATTGAAAATTAGCAAATGTATTGTTGAGCGGGCTGATGTGCTTAGAGATGGACTGATATCATCAAAATGCTCGATAGGCTCGCTTAATGTGCCTCACTGTTCCTTTTGCCGCTCAAATACAAAGTCTTCACGCTACGTATTTATTTCATCGTCTTTCACCACCAAACCTATCGGAAGAAAAAAAACTTCCAAAAACTATCCCTGCATCCATTTTTTGTGCACTGCACCCTGTCCACCTTCTGCTTTCCATACCGTGTAAACATATATAAGCTTAGGTAGCAGCGCTCAGAAGTTAAAGCGTTACTTCATCAGAAATTAGTGTACACCAAAATTCCTATAAAAGAAATGGTAACAGTTTTAGAGCAAATGTTGAGGTACCCCTTTTCTTTCCTATCTTCTCCCCTCCTCCCCTACCTGCTCACAATAACGCTCTGATGATAGCTCTTTTTGTTCCTCCGATAGTGCGACATATTAGAATAGTTTGATTACCCTGCAGCTGTCCCTTCACCACGATTGCTCATTGCTAGTTCGTTTAAGCAGCCGCTTTGCTTCTAAGTATATCTGCTTAGATTATGTGCTTTACGATCTTGCTTAAGTAGTCTAATAGCGATTCAATAACCATTTCATTTCTAAGACAACGAACTGATTGGGCGCAGAAAAAAAAGACAAACGTCAACATGCGACTAACCGTATGTAGCTTCGTTTCCTTTTGAAATATAAGTATGCAAAGTTTAAGGCTTATTGGTTCAAAAAGAAAAGTATGTGTTCGAAACATATAAGCACAATATATAATTCAGACTTTCTACATATATATATACTTATATACTTAGATGGTCTATCTTCACTCTTCAAGCAAGCACCAGCATTGTTTCCATCCGTTTGTGGCTCTCGCTAGCGTTATTTACGATGTTGGCATTGAAGTGCGGCGGCGACGTTTGCGAGGTCCAGTTCCATTACTCGTCACCAGCTAACAATTCAGCTGATCCTGCAACGACCACATCAGCCCGTCTGAGCGGTGGGCACCCTCGAGGACGTTTTGTTTCGCAAGGGATCCATTGCAGAGTTCGTAGTGCCCATCTTCCATTATATGACCAGCCCACCGATGTTTTTCAGAGACGTATTTCGCAGGATCGAGAAGACAAAACATTGATCTCATATCTGAACTGACGAAATGCTGAGCGCATCGGGTGTTCTCCACAAGACGCTTAGCGCTTTGGGGGTTGTACGGAGGGCATTCGACGTAGGCACAGTGTCAGGCCATGTCTCTGCAGCATAACAGAGCGCATGGAGAACGGTTCACGGTCGGAGCTCCAAGTCCGTCAGATGGTCTGTGGCTTCAGGGACCCGAAGGCAGCCCAAGCTGCTCTTCGTCCCCTGTTTAGTT